GTAGGAAAAATGAAAAGAAATAGAAGAGATGGTAAAATGTCTGGTCAAATGGTTTTTCATTCCTCTCAACCCTCAAAAAAAATGAGACAATTATATCATTTAACTTTCATATTTCTTGCAGAAAGAAGCATAAGAATGGTTAGCATGAAGGATTACAAACGTTTTTATCTTCATTATGACTAATTCAATAGAAATGAAATTACAAAATTAAACTTTGCAGTTTGAACGCCTGCAAAACATTTGTAAAACCTGAAAAAGATAGTTTTGAGAAATTCTTAACAGAAATGCGAATGAAATGCTGTTATTAATAGTGCATATAGTAGTAATAGTGTATAGTGATTTCCGCCTCTCCGCGGAAACTCCCTTGTTACGGGGAAAAGCTCGTTATGAGCTATGCTGACGGTGCAAATGCCTCCAGTAGAGCTTCTCATGCCAGATAGGTCAGGCAGGATGGGCTCGCTAACATTCAGGGAAACCACTCCAGGAAAAGGACAACTGTGGTCCCAAACCCGAGCAGATGGAGCTGCTTTAGCCCTGTAAGACCATCCATTTAAGTCTTAGATTCTAAGAGAAGGACAATTTAACTAAACCTAAGATCTGTCATCGTCATCGTCAAAGCTTGTTAAGTCGTGGCAGATAACCATAGGAAGAGTGGAACCACTTCCGCGTACCTGAGCCTCACTTAAAAAATCCTCTGCGCAGGCTCGAAGGATACACCTACTTTTACAAAGCCCTGTAATGATAAGCAATGACAGGTGATAAGTTATATTGGAAACCGTGGACCCAACTTTGCATGCAGGTGGTTCGAAGCATTGACCGCTCGAAATTGACCCCAAAAATGACAACCTTGTTCTGCAACATTCTGAATGACCAAGCAACCTTCTCCAAGGAAGCACTGCTTGCATTACACGGAGAGGGGCCTAGAGAAGGTCTCTAACCAATGCTTATTTCTATAAGTTATATTGTACCTGGTTGGTTAAACGGCCAATGTCGGGAAGCAATTGTATTGTAAAATTATTTGGCCTTAAGCCAAGTAGCTTAATGTAAACGTCTTACTATGTTTACTATTACGAATTGAAACAGTGTAAACAAACGTCTTATCATATTTTCCAGGTTATTCATACCCATTATATAAAAGCTTGTCTCTTTTTTTTCGGAGGTTCAGACCTTACTGACGTCCGACAACTTTCCATACCTTAGTTCAATTCACACTCACTTGAACTCTTCCTTTTGCTTTTTGAATAAAGTTTGTATTAACTGTGTCCTTTGTTAGTTTGCATTAACTGTGTTGTTGTTACATTTCCTTTGTGATAAGTTACATTGGAAACCGCGGACGCAACTCTGCATGCAGGCGGTTCAAGGCATTGATCGCTCGAGATTCACCCCGGAAATGACAGTCTTGCTCGGCAACATTATCAGTGACTGAGAAGTCTTCTCCAAGGAAAGCATTGCTTGGATTACACGGAGAGAGGCCTAGAAAAGATGTTTGACCAATTCTTATATCTGCACTTGGTTGATTAAGCGGCCAACGTGCATCTTCTAATGCAGTGTAACAAAGACAAAAAGACAAAGATATAAACCTGCCTCCAAAGGTATGTTCAGATTGATACTCGCATGTTGGAATATCAGAACCATGCTTCATAATGGTGATAGAGGATGTCCTGTGTGTCGTTCTGCTCCAATTGCCCACGAACTATCAGGATTCAACAT